ATACAGCTGTGATATTGTACTGGTATCTAAGGATAGTTTGAGCTTTGATCCCATGAGCTTTTGTCCTGTCTCCTTGCAAGATCTCAGGAAACCTTACGACACGCATATAAGGAGGTACCATGTCACTAGGGGCGGCAATGAGAGGTTCTCCGAGACGTTCGGACATCATGTCTGCAGCCCACTTCAAGAGAGGAACACAATAAGCATGGATACCAGCCTAAAGATTACAGAGAGATAACTATTTATAATAACTCAAAAGTATCTTACAATTCCACCCAAGCGTTCATAAAAGCTCATTGCTTGAGGTACGACAGTGAAAGGAGTGTTATCTCTTGTTCCTTGGGTTAGAAACTCTTCGGGGAAACCTTTATGATAGAAGCTGGAGGCTATGACTGGCCTAATGGTGTCCTTTTGATCTGATCTAACGTGAAGAAAGGCACAACCTCTGGGACAAAAGAACCACTTGTGCAGATTACCTAATGAGAAATACAAAGAACTGTTTACATTACTACACAAATACAGGAACCTAATTATATTCATAGCTCAAAGTTTGGGGCAACCCACGATAGCATTGTTGCTTTTGTCAACTATAAAAGGGCACAAAGATTTCATTGAGGGTAATAATCAGTTAAGCTTTTATACAATTTTTGAAAGGGACAAGTCCCTGAAATTACTTTTAATTCAAAAACATAGTTAACTACATAAAGTGGAGAAAGAAAGAGCAGGGTTTACCTGTGTAAAACTCTGCATTAATGTCCTCCACATTAATCTCCACTTGTCCTGGGGCGTGAGCTCCATCAATGATTACAGCAACACCGAACTCATGACATACAGATACTATCTCTTTAACTGGGAGCAACAGAGTACTGGGACTAGTAATGTGATCCACGATAGCAACATGGACGTCGGAATGAGACGAGAGATAGTCCCGATATCTCTGGACTACTTCAAACTTGTCTTTGTACGGTGGATCAAGGTTGATGGTGTGAAGAACAAAGTGACCTTCAATTTCGCAGACTTTGTGTGCCGTGTGTCTTATTGCTTCATAAGAAAGACCCGTTACCAAAAGGCCAGCTTTGGGTTGCATTTTTAAGCCTAAACTCCGTAGCGCAGCTGTAACGCCACCGGTAGCATTTTCTACAAATACTACATTTTCTGATGAAGAAGAACCAATTAGCTTCGAGACTGTTTCGGATCCTTTTTTAACGAGTGGCACAAAGTTGTATCTAAACCAATCATCCGGGCAGATCTCTAGCTCTCTCATCCGCTCCAGTCTTGCTTCATACACAGAGCGTGGCACAGAACCAAAGGAGCCGTGATTGAGATGAACTAGCTCCTTGCTTAGCTGGAATTCTTTGCTAATCTCTGCTCCAAACAAACCCCCAGTTTCAGCCATTTTTATCTAATTAAATAAATCTAAATCATAGATTCATAGTTTTCCTTGAACCCACACAGGCAGGAGAATAAAGTATAAAAGCAATTTTAAAATGTCCTTAAAAACAATTGAATCTTTTTTACAGAAGCATGATAGCTCTAGCACAATAATAATAATAATAATAATAATAATAATAATAATAATAATAATAATGATGATAATAATAATAATAATAATAATGATAATAATAATAATGATAATAATAATAATAATACTCATAATCACATGTATTTCAATGACAGTGTTCATTCTGGTCCCTATTATTGACTCCAAAGATGTGCTTGGTCTTTCCAAAAATGAAGTACCCAATCCCAGCACCAAAGCAAACCGAGAGGAATAGCCATCCATTAAAAGTCATAGCAATGAACATTAAAATGTATCCATAGCCAACTTGAACCACATGAAGCAGGGACTGTATGATGTGCATGCTTAGACTAATAGAGAAGGACTTTACCCTACAAAGAGAAGAGAAGGAAACCACTCACTATAATCATATTATAAGTATTGTTTATATAAACAATGTCCAAAACTACCAGACACTGTCACATGTTATATGTCACTGTCACATGCCACAGAGTACAAACTACCTTACAGCTGCTAATATTGGCGAAAATTATTGTAAAAAATATAGGATTGGCGATTTAGTAGCCACGTGTCATTAAATAAAGCAAAATGGTGGATTGTATACTGGCAGTCATGCTAATGTATATTAATGTACTATTTCTTTATTTCCAGGTATACCTGTTTGATTTCTTTTCTGGATCCAACAGCTCCATTTTGTCGTCTTTCTCATTATTAGTTGAATCTGATCTCTTTTTGTTCTTTTTGGATCTCTTTAGATCATGATAAATGAGCCACTCCCTGAGGGTCTTCAGCCCCTCGTAGAGAATAGCCATTAAAATTACTGCTACCATAGCACCAATGAGTTCTAAGAGAAAGAGAAAGAATATAAATGAATATGTGTAGTGACTGGCTATCAGATTGGCCAAGGGCCTATAGAGTACTCCATATTTATTATGATCTCAGAGTCAACCATTACTCTTTATAAACTACATAAATGTACACAAGCTAAATAGACAAGTAGCGGACATCCACAGAAAGTTATTTTAAATGACTATCTAAAGACACAAGGCAAGCTTGAGCCAACAAACAAGCCATTTTCATTATGATACAATGAATTGTGTACCTCTTGAATTAGTTATCTTCCAAGAACTAAAGAGAAGGCGTTGGCAGGCATCAAAATGGAAATACATCTACAATAAAGTGTAGAAAAATAAAACTAGAGTATTAGACTATGATCACCTTTCCCATTCCTCCCATCATGCTCCCGCCGTCCATATCTGACATCCCGTCCATAGACAGATCGCAGCTGCCACCACCAGTGTGATTCATCATCATATTTAGACTAGGCCTAGCGCGGAGGAGAAGGAGAGAGAGACAAACAAAGAAACTGCAGCCACAACAAAATTGAAAAGTGGCAGGCAGCAATTTCCTTTGTGGATATACGGAAATGATGCAAGATAGAGTTTAGTAGACTACGGATTTATGAACCGTAAACTCTAACTAAGCTCCGCCCATCATTAAATAAAAATGGAGGGGACATCCTCTTCTTCACTAAGTTCACTCTCCTCCTCTTCCTCCCCCACACATGTCTATGATATCTTGTTACTCAGAAGAGTAAACATGTCCTCAGAGATGAGTTTGCCCGGGGGCTCAAAGCTCCTTTCTCTCATCAGACAAGTACAAAATCTCCATTTTTGCTTTTTTTATAATTATTTTTTTTAATTTCAGTTGCTGTCAAGTTGGAGCAGCAGCTCAAGAAGGACTAAAGTCATTGTCTTCTCCTTGGCTGGTCTCTCTTTATCAATACTGGCAGCAGGTGTGATACTCCGCCAGAGGAGGAGGAGATACAGAGGATTACTGGCTAGCAGGATGAAAAGAAGAGAAACTTTTGGAACAGCGTCACCAGGTAGAGAAAAGAAACCATTTAGTATTTTTTAATTTAAATGAGTTTACGATAATATTTATGCATGTATATATGCATTTTCGAAATATTTATTTATGCATGTACATGTACATGTAATTATTCAATACTCTATCATGTATGTGTACTGGTAGATGTACATGTACATGTATGTGTCATTGTTTGATAGTTCATAAAATTGCTCATAACTTTGAAAATTTAAGTTGGAATCAGCTCAAACTTTCTACACAGCATAAGGACATCAATATGTATCAGAAAATGTAATAAAAATTGGGGGTCAATTTTTAGCCATTTTTCGGAAAAAAAGCATGGGCTATAGCCTTGGGTATTTTTCAGATTTTGGCACATTTCTTAAAATGGCCGTAACTTGAAAAATCTAAGTCAGAATCAGCTCAAACTTTCTTCACAGCATAAGTACATCAATATGTATCAGAAAATGTAATAAAAATTGGGGGTCAATTTTTTGCCTTTTTTTGGAAAAAAGCATGGGCTATAGCCTTGGGTACTTTTCAGATTTTGGCCCATTTCTTAAAATGGCCATAACTCAGATAATTTAAGTCGGAATCAGCTCAAACTTTCTACACAGCATAAGGACATCAATATGCATCAGAAAATGTAATAAAAATTGGGTGTCATTTTTTAGCCATTTTTCAGAAAAAAGCATGGGCTATAGCCTTGGGTATTTTTCAGATTTTGGCCTATTTCTTAAAATGGCCGTAACTCGAATAATTTAAGTCGGAATCAGCTCAAACTTTTTACACAGCATAAGGACGTCAATATGTATCAGAAAATATAATAAAAATTGGGGGTCAATTTTTAGCTATTTTTTGAAAAAAACCATGGGCTATAGCCTTGGGTATTTTTCAGATTTTGGCCTATTTCTTAAAATGGCCGTAACTCGGATAATTTAAGTCAGAATCAGCTCAAACTTTTTACATAGCATAAGGACGTCAATATGTATCAGAAAATATAATAAAAATTTGGGGTCAATTTTTAGCTATTTTTTGAAAAAAAGCATGGGCTATAGCCTTGGGTATTTTTCAGATTTTGGCCTATTTCTTAAAATGGAAAATTTTAAGTTGGAATCAGCTCAAACTTTCTACATATCATAAGGACGTCAATATGCACCAGAAAATTTTATTTATTTTATTTATTTTGTTATTTTTCAGATGTTAAGTCTCATCACCGCATAAACTCATTCCCCACCCCCATACCTGATCTCATTGTTGATGACACCACTCAAGAGGAAGAGGAGGATGGGAACGGACAGAGAGGGTGGAGCTCGGGTGGAGTCAGACGAAGACTATCGGTGGAATTCTCTCAACCAGAGGATTACGATACCATTTCCGTGAGACAAGATAGCGACATTTTCCTGAGTTTATCACAAAACTATTCAACAGGTCAGAATAATTTTTTATTATTAAAACAAGCCCCTCCCATTTTACTAAACCATGCCCATATTAATTACATTACAGGCCCCCTCTCCGATGATTTCTATGATGCTACTGACCTCTCTAATCCCTATTCCCCTCGTAACATGGCCACGCCCATTATTGATTATTTATCGGATTCAGATGACTCCTTCGTTTCTGCTACCCAGCACTTGGATACGGTAAGCCACACCCATCACCACGCCCACTAGAACATTATTTAGGTGTCATTTAAGCATTCGTTCTACATATCATCACTGGAAGTTGTTGAAAGAGGAGCAGTACCATGTAGGACAATGAGGTATTGAAAAACATTATTACGATTGATTTAATAATAATAATAATAATAATAATAATAATAATAATAATAATAATAATAATAATAATAATGATACTAATTGTTCTATTTTCTGTTCTTTCTTAGAACTGATGTTTTATGCTGCACTAGTGAAAGAGATTTCCTAGCTAAGCTACACTGTGTCCGTCAGGCCATGAACCTGCTACTGCAGTCACCAGAGAACAGAGAATACCTGATTGATGCCGGGAGAGATATGGTAGTATCACTACTGATAAAATCAGCATACGTAAGGGAGACTGAGATATTAATATTTATGCATGTATGATATTTGTTGGATTGGGTTTTAGTGTTTTTTGTGTTTTTTAGGATGCTGGTCCATTTCTTGAAGCTTACGATAATATCATTAAGTTTTGTCAAGTACCCGAGAATTTAAATAAGACGAACATTGAACTGTCGGAGAGAGGAGTAAGAGAGAGAGAGAGAAGGGGGGAGAGAGAAAGATTACATAGTTACTGATGTACATGTATTAAATGGTTGTTTTATCATTCTCAGGTAGTGTGTATGAATATATATGATATTGCTTTGGACTTCTTGCTGTTGGATGCTTTTGATGACTTGGCTAGTCCTCCTTCAGCAATGCTGTCAGTGATACAGAATGGATGGATATCAGATGGGATCAAGCAAAGTGTAAATAAATATAAATAAATAAATAAATAAATAATAATAATAATAATAATAATAATAATAATAATAATAATAATAATAACTAATGCTTAATGATCAATATTGTCTTTTTAAAGATGTTAAATACAGCAGTTTGGTCTATTCTAAAGACTAAGAAGAGTTTATTAAAAGTACATAAAACTCAAACATAATCACTTAAATTTAACCTCCTCCCTCCCTCTCTCACAGAGTAAGAATGGGTTCATGTACCTATTCTACAGTCTAAGTGAGACTATTTCCCCCGTCTTTGCGTGGGGTTTCCTCGGCAATAACAATCAACTCAACGAGCACTGTCAACAGTTTAAAGTGAGATAAACACAAACCACACCCCCTAGTGACCCCGCCCATTACTAGGCTACGATAATGAAGCTCCTCATTGCTGTGTTTTCACTGGAGACTGTTAGATACAGTTCAGCTCAGACTCTTGCTGATGACATTATGCATCACACCAGAAGAGCTGTCAATTCTCTTTCTAATATTTAGCATCTTGTGTATTTTATAATTATTGTTTTTTATTCATTATTAAAGACAAAAAAATATTGTTGGCAATGAATGTAAATTTTCTGATGCAAAGGTATTGGCTTTAAAATTTATGAGGAACAAAGTATAAAATATTAAACACAATAAACAGAATATATATATATATATACTTCATACAATAAAACTGTACATTATGTAAGGCAATGAAGGAATATGTTCTCAACAGTTTCTGTTATCAGCTGTCCATTGATGATAAATAATGACGCCACAAAAGCTTACAATAATACAAAGTGGTATGATAATGAAAATCGATATATGTAAAAATAACTGTCAATAAATAACTAGACAGTCATTGACAGTTATCACTAGTCCATTAAAAATTAATTAAAATTAATTAGTCCATTAAGATCTTTTATAATGCAAACCACAAAACCTCACCTACTTACGTATTCACGTGATTAGTGCATTAACTGCATTTTCATGAGGACATATTCCTCCTGAACCTGATAGATGATTTTATGAAAATTGTGATGAAAAGCACAATAAACAATTGCAACAGTGTCAAAAGAAATGTTCTTAGCATTTGCAGTCAGTCCATGATTTGATAAATGATGCCGCACAAGACTATGATGATTAGTACTTTGAAGGTCATCAATAATCAATAAAGTTTTTGTTTGAGTATTCATCGTCATTCTTCCTGTTCTGAGTGTTCTCCATCATTCTTATGTGGTGCTGCACAATTGGAATTGGCTTATCATCGAACACTTCAAATTTTTGTAAAAAATTATTTACAGAACATAAAAATATAATATAATAAAACAGTACATATTACAGTTGCAGCAGTGTTAAAAAGCAATGTTTTCAGCATTCACAGTCAGTCCTGCATGTAGTCTCACGAGGCCAGCCCTGGCCTTGCAAGGCTAAGTCAGCCCATACTTGATAAATGAAGTTGCACAAGACTAATACAATGAGGGCTATCAGTAATATAATAACTGTTTTGTTTAAATATCCATTTTCATTCTCCTTGCTCTCTTTGTGTATCGTGATACTTCCAGTGTAAGTACAGTCAAAGTCAGGTTCACTTCCATACTTGCTGTGTGCTTCACGGGATGACAGAAACTTAATGATGGCATCACGAACTCTCCCAAACTGATCATAACCTTCACAAGCTCGAATAATCCTTTTCCACGTGAAATCTTTATGCTGATCCCTCCACCTTTCAAAAACAGTCCCAATCATAACTGCTGCAGAGTGTGGACAATCAATCAGGTCATTCACATCGATGTCTAATGCTCTACCTAAGATTTGCCAGTGACATGCAGCACCAGATTGAATAAATATCCTTTGGAAATCAGAAACTTTTGGCTCCTTTCTTAGCAGTTCTGTTAAAGAAAAACAATATCATAAACTAATTTTTAAATGCTACCTTCTGCATCATATTCTGGTCCAGGATTACTCTCAACATCTCCACATATGATAAGGTGAATGACAGTGGCAAATATTGTCAACTGTTCCATATCAGTAACAGATTCCAGAGAGGGTTGACAGATGAACAGGAAAATAACAATGATGATGATGGGGATAATATAAACCATTATATCAAGAGAAAATAATGGTATATACATGTACTCGATTATACTGGCACCATATATACTGGCAGCATATTTGAACTTGGTGATCGAGTTTTTTATACTATTAATAATGGGGTCCTAAATTATTAAGGTTAGAAGTATCATTTTAATTAAAACTTTATATTGCTGAGACTTACAAAGATACGATAGAAAAACTGATAAAAGTCATATTTAGAAGTAGTAGAAGAAAATTGCTTACAGAATTCTGCACACTTCTTGACATTTTGTAGTAACTCAACAGTACAAATATTAGCTTCTTGTAACTAGTATAATTTCAATATTTTAGTATCAAAATTTAAACCCAGCCCCACACATCTATTCCCCTTACTTACTCTGCAGAAGATATCAACAAGTCTCTCCTCATTTAATGAATGTTGATGCATTTCTTGAAAAGCTTTTTTAAACTAAGCATTATTAAGAATGATGAAATGCTAAAATACCATATAGGGGTATATTTCAAGGGGATTAAATTTCGCAATTTAAAAAAATTCGTGAAAATTTTTATCATACTAATAATGGTTAGTAGAAAAAAACACAATTTTTTTCCTGTGAATAGGTTGAAAGGTAATTTTTGTGAAATATTTTCCCTGGAAAATATACCCCCAAACAGTATAAAAAACTTACTATGCATCTTAGAGTATCAAGATCTTCTAATGTATGTGTAATAGAGAATTGTAGCATGAGGTCCCTCATTATTTCATAAG